GAGGGGAAAATTTTAAATTTTCCAGTCAATGTGGATGACTGAATTCGTGCGGATGTCTCTCTCTCTCACATCCTCCCTCGTCCTTGAATTAGCTAGCTACTCAGCATAATTAGCTGTCAGCTGGTCAAGATGGCTTATTCTTAGAGGTGCAGTTTGAGCTTGTTTGTATAGCTAAATAAACGAATATAAAATCTAGGTTTAGCCAAAGTATAAACAACTGTTTCACATCTCCAATAGTTACTTTGACATTGTTCAAAGATGTTATTTTGATAAACAAATGGCCAGGTCGCAGTTGTAAATGAGAACTTGTTCTCACCTGGCTTACCTGGTTAAATAAAGGTGAAATAAATAAAATAAAACATTTATTGAACTAGCTATCTACAATTCCGTGCATCACATGATACCCTAGCTAGCCAGCTAGCACACCTAGCTTGTTTCCACAACTAGCTAGCTCATTACATTGCTCATCAGCTAGCTAGTGTATAACATTACCCAACGTCTCTCACATTACCCAAAGCCAACAGTACCGTGGTTGCCTCTCTGCTGGTGTCACGACTTCAGCCGAGGCTGCCTCCCCTCCTTGTTCGGGCAGGCTTCAGCGGAGAAGTGTATGTTTTTCCAGCAGTCCGTCTCCTTCCTCGGATACCGCATTACCACCTCAGGTGTGGAGATGGAGGGAGATCGCATTTCAGCCGTGCGTAATTGGCCGACTCCAACCACGGTTAAGGAGGTGCAGCGATTCCTTGGCTTTGCCAACTACTATCAAAGGTTTATCTGGGGCTTTGGCAAGGTCGCAGCTCCCATTACATCCCTGTTGAAGGGTGGGCCATTCCGGCTCCACTGGTCTGCTGAGGCTGACTGGGCCTTCAGTAACCTGAGGGTTCTGTTCACCTCAGCCCCGGTACTGGCCCATCCCGATCCATCACTACCGTTCGTAGTGGAGGTGGATGCGTCCGAGGTAGGGATAGGCGCTGTCCTGTCTCAATGCTTCGGCACGCCACCCAAGCTCCGCCCCTGTGACTTCTTCTCTAAGAAGCTCAGCCCGGCGGAGCAGAACTACGATGTTGGTGATCGGGAGCTGTTGGCTGTTGTCCAGGGGCGAAACATCCTTTCCTCGTCTGGACGGACGACCGTAACCTGGAGTATATCCGGACAGCGAGGAGGCTGAATCCTCACCAGGCCAGGTGGGCCCTATTCTTCACCCGGTTTGATTTTACACTGTCATACATTCCGGGTACGAAGAACGTGAAGGCAGACGCATTGTCCCGGCTGTATGACCCAGAGGAGAGACCCAGAGACAACACCCCAATACTCCCGGCCTCCTGCATTGTGGCGCCGGTAGTATGGGCGATGGACGCGGATATAGAGCTGGCATTACGCACAGATCCATCTCCACCTCAGTGTCCAGCTGGGCTGCGGTACGTGCCAGGTATTGGTCGTACAGTGCGCTGCTTGATCGAAAAGTACTGGTGGCCTACCTTGGCTAAGGACGTGAGGGTGTACGTCTCCTCCTGCTCGGTGTGCGCCCAGAGTAAGGCACCTAGGCACCTCCCAGCGGGTAAGCTACAACCTTTACCAGTTCCACAACGACCATGGTCTCACCTAAGTGTTGATTTTTTGACTGATCTTCCCCTCTCCCAAGGTAACACCACCATCCTGGTCGTTGTGGACCGCTTCTCCAAGTTCTGCCGCCTCCGTCCTCTGCCCGGTCTCCCCACGGTCCTGCAGACTGCAGAGGCCCTGTTTACTCACGTCTTCTGGCACTACGGGATATAGTGTCCGACCGAGGTCCCCAGTTCACGTCCAAGGTTTGGAAGGCGTTCATGTAACATCTGGGGGTCAGCCTGACCTCTGCGTTACACCCCGAGTCAAATGGGCAGGTGGAACGGGTAAATCAGGACATGGGTAGGTTCCTGCGGTCCTACTGCCAGGACCGGCCGGGGGAGTGGTCGGTGTTCTTGCCATGGGCAGAATATGCCCAGAACTCTCTCCGCCACTCCTCTACTAACCTAACGCCATTCCAATGTGTTTTAGGTTACCAACCGGTTCTGGCACCGTGGCACCAGAGCCAGACCGAGGCTCCTGCGGTGGATGACTGGTTTCGGCGCGTGGAGGAGACGTGAGAGGCTTCCCACATTCACCTCCAGCGCGCCATGCATCATCAGAAGGCCAACGCTGACCGTCACCGCAGTGAGGCCCCGGTCTTCGTACCGGGGGATCGGGTCTGGCTCTCGACCCGGAATCTGCCCCTCCGCCTGCCCTGCCGGAAGCTGAGCCCGCAGTTTGTGGGGCCGTTCAAAGTCCTGAGGAGAATCAATGAGGTCATGTATAGGTTGTTACTCCCCCCGATTACCGTATTAACCCCTCGTTTCATGTGTCTCTCCTCAGGCCTGTGGTGGTTGGTCCGCTCCAGGAGTCTGAGGTGCGGGAGTTTCCTCCACCTCCTCTGGACATCGAGGGGGCCCTGGCGTACTCTGTCCGCTCCATCCTGGATTCGTGGCGTCGGGTGGGGGGCCTTCAGTACCTCGTGGAGTGGGAGGGGTATGGTCCGGAGGAACAGTGCTGGGTCCCGGTGAGGGATATCCTTGATCCCTCCCTGTTGCGGGATTTCCACCATCGCCATCTGGCTCGCCCTGCTCCGCATCCTCCTGGCCGTCCCCGAGGCCAGGGTCGGTGCGCTGCTGGAGCTGCGCGTCAAGGGGAGGGGGGGTACTGTCACAACTTCGGCCGAGGCTGCCTCCCCTCCTTGTTCGGGCAGGCTTCAGCGTTCGTCGTCACCAGCTTACTAACCACTGCCGCCCCAATCATCATCACCTTTATCTTGTCTTGTCAATCACACACACCTGGTTCTAATCCCCTCATTAGTCTGTGTATAAGTGTTCCCTCTGCCCCCTTGTCCTTCTGGGTGATTGTTAGTTGTGAGAGTCGTATAGCTCGGTGGAGCTACTCGTACATTGTTGTTGCCAGGGTAGATTTTCCCCTGTTCCTATGTATTATTGGATATCCGGTACAGTGTCTTTGCCAGGGATGATGGTTTCCCCTGTGCCTGTTTCGTTGATCGCTATTTGAGCGCATTTGTGTGTCAACGAAGGAATAAACTCTGTATTCGGTGATTACCCTCCTGCACCTGACTCCTTTCATCACACTCATCACAGCTGGAGCAATCCTTGAGTGGAAAGTAAATGGCAGCACTGCAAATAAATGAAATGCTGATTCGTGGTAGAGTCAAATCAACTATCAACACCACTACTATGATTTCCATGGTAGCGCACACCACACCAGATTGAGATGCTGACCCCCCCCCACCACACCACACCACACCAGATTGAGATGCTGACCCCCCCACCACACCACACCAGATTGAGATGCTGACCCCCCCCACCAC